CTACTAAGATTTTCTGATAATTTCAGAAGAGTAATTAAAAAAAATTGATTTGATGCTTCAGAGTAGTGTCAAAACATTGTGGCACGGTATTCTGAGACTTGGTTGAGTTCCATGTCATACATGACTTCTGTTCTGAGTCTCTAGTATAGATTACCTTAAGTATTTGATTAATATTACATTGACTTCAAATAATCAAAAAGACTCAAATCACCCCACAATTTATTTGGCAGCCCTGCTCTTCTATCCTTCCAATTATTCTGCAAACATTATTTCCCTGATCAACATCATCTTCTTTCAAATAAACTCATTGCAATACAGGACATATTGCTTACATAGTAGGTAACATGGGGTATTGAGAAAATAATTGCCATTTAAATGGAATTCTAGTACTGCAACTGAAATAAACGATATGAATAAAGTGTCAATTAAATGTTGGTAATAAGAGACTTTACATAATTTGCTTCCCAACAGATCAGAAATTAACAGTCACAGTGGTAATGCAAAGTTTAGAAAAAAGAAAATGACCATAAAAATCTAAGTAATCTGAAACATTTCCTATCGGAAAAAGTAAAATGTGATTAGGAGAAGTGCAGACCAGAGAAAAAGAGCCTCAGGAACCCAGGTACAACATCTGAATGCTACAAAATATGCCACAGATATCTATGCCAAGTGAAGTCCTTTGAGTTGTTTCCCCCATTTGCATGAAGCAAATGTCTGTTTTTTGACCCTTGAAATTAGTGTGCCATAGCAAGTCCCAAAGGAATCCAAGGAAACTGTAATATTCTCTGTAGTTCATGCTTTTGTGTTTTGTTTTCTAGATTATCACTACTAATTTTAAGCCCCTGCTTCTCCTCTATTTAAGCACACTGCCAAATTAATGCAAATCTGCCTCCAGAAAAAAAAAAAAAAAAAAAAAAAAACAGATGTAAAGAAGGAAGTTGTGCCAAATAAAAGATACACATTTGAAGGAAATTGAACAATATGCTGCTCAGTGATTGCTAGTAACACTGAGAAAGACAAAAGAATATGAACCAAAGACCAATACTCTCACATTGCCTAAGTATCCTCAAAGTAGAATTTTACAAAACAGACAGGTTACATGGACAGAAGCTGTTGCTTACAGATTGCTTTACAAATTCCAAATGGCAATGGGTAAATGAACTATCAGCTCCTGTGACACTGCTGAAGTCAAACCAAAAGCCACTCCTTAGAACGCTGTAGACAATATCCTTACTAATCCTTCTCCTAACCTATCTGTCCCAAAGAAAAGCTTTCAAACATCAGTTAAAAAAAAAAAACAATGAAAAGAAAACAAAACAGTAAGTTGTACATTAATTAAAGCCAGCGTTGTCATGATTGGATACAGAATGCACTGTCTGAAAACCAGTTTTTATTATTAGACTCTAACTTAAGTTTCATCTATTGCTTCAAAGCTGGGCAGGTTTTATTAATTGGAAATGAATACACTGGGCGAAATGTCATTATTTGCTTTTTATGCTCAATTTGCTTACAATTTGTTAAATTTATAATTTATTCCTATTATAAACTTACATACTCTCTAAATCACTCCCCTGTGGAGTCTTGGAACTGAAATACTGATAGATTCACATCAGATACCTCTGAATCCTGTTGTTTTGTTTTGTGGTGGTGTTTGTTTTCTTTTTTTTTTTTTTTGGTACACTGAATTCTTCTCAGCTTAGCTCCCTAATGACTTCAGAAATACGTATAAAAAGCTCTGCAGTAACAACTCCTCCACATAAATACTTTGAATTCTATTTTAAAAAGGGAGGGATTCGTTTTTCTGTGTTCGTAATTACTGCCTCACTTCACTTATTTTTCAAGCATCTACTCAACAAGGCCAAACTTATTTGAATTGCTCATTAGAAGACAGCTGAACTGTAAAATACAAGCATTCTTATTCTTTCATATTGTACTGCTCATTTTCACACTTGCTATCTTGTAAATTGTACCTGTTTTTACTAACAAGTTCTATGCTACAACTACATGAATAGGGTATACAGCTTGTTATTTTCAATGAAGATCAAAATGTTTCGAGTTTGCCTCATGGCAATGTATAGAAATCAGATTTCAAAGAAAAATCACTTTCCTTCTGAAAAATTGGACTGCTTCAAGGTTTCCCCCCAGACTACGTTTCAGTTATCCTTGACTGTACTATTACTGTAGGTGAAGCAATAGGACTAAGTATATCTGTGAAGGTCTTATAATCCAAAGTAAGAGTCTAATTCAGATGAACAGTCCAGGCTTTAGTCTTATTTAGATCATTTTGTATTTTTGCAAGTGTAAGAACGATCAGAACATAAGCCAATTCATATAAAACTGGTATAGTGATGACAATCTTTCCTAACTTGAGCTTAGAACATTCACTCAAATCATTAACCAGTATCCTTGACAGTGTTACAGTCTGATTAAGTACCAATAGTAGAGTATGCAAAAAATTTTAATTACATATACATGTACACATATATATACACAAACACACACACAGATACTGATATGAACAATTCCTTCCCATGTATAGTAGTTACATTATTATTGGGTAAATAGAATTCATTTAAAGAATGCTTCATTTCTCCATAAACTTGTTATCCTGTCAATACAGTAACTTGTGAGGATGAAGAAGAATTTAATTGTCTAAACAGATGAATTCTTTCTTCAGAGCAACTGAAAAGGGTAGGAAAATGTGGAGTTTGATCAGCCAGATCTATCAGCACTTAGAGATTTGTTTTCTTTCCATATTCTCCAGTTAATTTCTTAAATAACATTTATGTGACAGTTTAGCAAGTTATTTTAAAGCAGGCAAGTTTAAATTCTCTTCAAGGAGAATTAAAAGAATCTGAATTTAAAAAATAATGACGGGGCTGATACAACAATACACATTGTGTATAGAGAGAGAGACAGAGAGAGATGTCTATACACATGAAAATATACTAATACAGGTCTCTCGGACAAGGAATTACAAGCCGTATTACAAATTCCAGTTTTACATAAGGAATTGCTTCCCAGTAATGTTTGTCTCAAAGCTGGAAATGAGTACAGCAAACAGGCCTGGACAAAGCTAAAATCTCATACATAAGACTACTGCTTTCTACCTCTTCTGTTTAAGATGTTTTGAGTCATAACTTTCATTTGGCAAAAAATAAAGTAACTTTATTAAAGACAATGCTATAGGCAGCTGTCAAAAAAAAAAAAAAAAAAAAAAAAAAGGCATTTTCCATTCACTTTTTTTTTCTTAAGGGAAATTAAGTCTATTAAATTTAAAAATGTCTTTGGCTAGGCAGTTTTCCCAGGAGCAGAAAAAGCATGTAAGGTGGGAAAAATACTATGCTGCTTTTGGGAAAAGTAACTGGTCTCCTAGTTTTATTAGAAAATTATGTCTTAAGAAATAGTAAGAAATAGCACTCACAGAAATGACAGTATCATGAAAGAACTGGTCATCTATTCTCTTGACAATATAGCCAAAGAATACAGCATGGTGAAAAGCACATTACAGCATTTAATACATTTAAACCTTAGTGATCTTTAACAGACTTTTTTTTTTTTTTTTTTTTTTTTTTAAAAGAGCCAATAAGTTGGATGCTTTCAGAGGTAAACATTCTAGAATTTCAATTTACGCAGACTTACCTATATGTGGATTTGTCTAAATTTGAAGTGCATAATTTTATACATATCTTAAGGTGTCATCACCTTGGTTGTGGCTTTTAATGACTCTATGGTTATGATATCAAAACTCTATTTACTACAGTTCTGACAATGATAAAGCAAACATTGAAACAACATTAGAATTTTTACCAGTTATACTTTTGGTAATACAATTATATACCAGCAATACAAAGGTTTGAAGAATCACGATCTACACATTGTGGGACAAAGGCTCTGCTCACTTCAGATGATTCAATTTGATAACTAAATAGAACAACAACTTCACTGGGAAAGAGAGATGACAGAGAATAAGCTTAATAACTGGCAGTATCATAAGCACTTGAAAAATAATACCATCTGAAAACCTATGAAACATATAAGTTCAATAGGTAGAAAAGACTACCTATTGCAAGATAGAGGTGCAAGATAAAGCTCAGAATTTGCTAGCAGAGGAAGGAAGTATGAGAGCAAGAAAGGTAAGCTATGCAAGAACAACCATCTGCAGCAAACCAAATTAACTCATTTGTTTTGGAAATGGAAGGCAGAATTCTTCACTGACAACAAAATATCATCAAGATAATTACGTATCAACCTTCAACTCTTTGTCATGTATGATGAAGTCATGCCAAATGACCAGTTCATTACAGTAGTAAAGATGACCAAGTTTGTTGAAGGGATTTATAGTACACTTCGCATCTACAGTATGCAGGTTCTAACAGCTGGTTTATTCCTATTAAATAGTAATTCAGTCAGAAAGCATTTGCAAGACTGCAAGAGATTACTGTGCAATGATTTTCCAGCTTCCTGGTCTTTATGTGCATGTCTGCCATGTAAGCACTTGCTGAATGTCTGCTGTGCCCTGATCATCTTGATTTACAAGTACTTGAACTTCAGACGACAAGTTGATTCTGATTGAATAGCCATTCCTAACTGTGAGCTAATTTTTATTACTATTTTGTTTGGAAACCATAGGCAATATTCTGCACAAGACCATACTAAATATACTCTTCCCTAAATGTTAACACTAACAATGCTCTCTTTTAACCCTGTTTGGCTTTTCGCACACAGCAGACACAGTACACACTGTTAAAGTGTTCTAGTCTATTAGTTGCTACTCTGCACTTAGAATATTTGAAAATGCAATGATGTGAGGGTGCCTGTATGATTTTAACAGATTAGGGAGCCAGAACTACATATAAGCTCACAGAAACTTCTGTGGAACTCTAAGAAACACTTCGCTGTCTACAAAGTACATATCTGCAGGACCACCAACAACCCCATTTTCAAAGGAGGAAAAGAAACATATGCAGTCATTTTAAAGAAAGTGACCCAAGGCTTACCTTCTTATTTTGATTTTGGTGGCTTTTGTTTCATATGTTTATTTTATTTAAAGAAATAATGTGATATACTTCTGTTGGTTTTCAGCATGTGGACAAATACAGCAGCAATACAAAAGCTAGGAAAAGAGAAACAGAGGTATGCATTTCATTTTTCCTCTGTAACAGGTAATAAATACTGTAATGCAACAGTGACAGAACACAATTGAATTTCACAGTTCTTTGTCAGGAAAAAAAAAAGGAACAATGTTACAGAAGTTCTATTTTAGTTTTAATGACATCTACAAATACAAGTAAACTGACATCCACCACATCAAACTTGCCTTCTGTTTCACAAGTGTTATGCACTTTATGTGTTTAACTTAATATTTCTAATAGGTCTGTTAATATATGCATGGTTACTCAAGCGTTAGTATCAGATGTAAAGAATGAAAACAACCTTATGAGTTGTAACACTAGCAACCAGTTAAATACTTCCAAAAACTGTTATCCTAACTGCATTGTAATGACAATAAAAAAAGGACTTGGAAAACACTAAGTAACACACACCTTAGACTTTGCATGGAGCGACCTCTAGTCACTCTAGAGGTCAATTTTCCTATTACACTTCACTTATTTAATTGGATTCAAGAGAATCAAAGTAACAAAGAACATGACATTTTGATCAGGTTTAGGCTTTAAAGTTCCAGAATCCAGGACAAATAATTTTGTTCCTGTGAAAAGAGCTTTGGTACCCTCCTTTTGTAAACTCTGACAGGGAAAGCCACTGCACAACTCCACTCCACAAGCCTCTCACCTACCACTGTGGAAAAATAAAGCGCAGCAAGTTTTCAACCACAAGAAGCAACTCCAAAAAAAGAAGTTTACTAAAGACCTATCATGTTTGCTATAGTCATTCATACTGATTTTCGCATAGATCTGATTTCTTTTCCTGAGAAGCTGATAATATATGCATCAGAAATATAGTTGATTTGGGACTTTCTGTAATAAAGGTGTATTTGTGTACTATACTACGCCTGTACCCATGAGGAAAGAAATAGACTGCAGTCATACAGCTAGACAGGCTAACTTGACCACATTACATCAAGGCGTCACATTTTCCTTGCATTATAATGCTCAATAATAGCAATTACACTACCAGCTGCAAAACCTAGAAGTCATTTTCAGATGCTAAAACACAAGCCATAAATAACAGAATTAATCTCCCACTACTCCAGTAAAGTCCTTCAAACACCCAGAACATACATTTTTTTACTTGGGAATCAGTAACTGATCTGAATTGCTTAAAGAATGACTAAAAATGTTTTGTTTCAGGATATTGTTTCCATTAAAATCATAGAACATTCTTATAACTCCCACACTAATGCATTGTGCTAAAATGCACTGTGGTTGTTTTTGTTTGTTTGCTTTTAAAAGTAGTGCACAAACAGAGCTGGGTTTTAACAACCAGAAAGGAAGCTTACAGATAAAAGCTTACTTCATAGGCTACACCCTGAATCAGAGGTCTATCCGTTGAGTATACCAGAATAATGAACAGTATATTTCTAGAAGATGACCTTCCAGTAAAGATGGCATTTATTTAAGAGGAAAGAAACAATTAGTTGGGGGGGAAAAAAAAAAAAAAAAAAAAAAAAAAGGAATTAGAGTAGTCTCAGCAGCTGATCTCATTCCAGATCAACTAATTCTTTGCTAAAACGAAAACCTTACTTCTAAGATCCAAAGTACGCATCTAGCTACAAAGGCAAAGTAAATAATAAAAGAGAAAGAAATCTCAAAAGACCTGAGAGCTTGACTTTAAGGTTTGTTCTTACTTTGAAAAAAGTCAATGCCTAATATAAGAGAATTCCCCAATGTTACCTAAGAAAATAATCTTAATCTGTTTTGCACTCTGCATATATTTTTATTAGCTATGTTACAGAACAGATACATTTTAAATTTACTTTAAATTTTCATTTGCCTCCAAATCAAATAGCTGCTATTTCTAACATATTATTCATATATCCCCTTGACATACCTTGCTTGAAATACATCTGTAATAAAAAATGAGGTATCCGGAGGACTCCCCATTTTCATTCTTAGACTACAATGAGTATCCTATTATAGAACACCATACACGCAAGTGCAAAGAAAAAAATCCCAAACAATCAGACCTTTCATGTTTCAGGGAAACACATACAAGATTAGCTCAGCTATAATGAAACTCAGAATGAAAACTCATTAAAGCAGCAGACAGTCTCTTCTGCAGAGATTCTTATGGATCTTGGTTCTGAAACCACTTGGTTAGGAGCAATTCCTCTACAGGTTTGCTTGAGCGAATTCAGAGTTAATGACTTAATTAGTTTCCTCGAACTCATAGGCCAAATAATACTGCTAATCTTGTGATAATACATAATTTTTGGACCAAAATTGGCCATAATTTTTATTTAAACACTGTTATAAGACTAGTCTAGGTCTGTAATCTACTTGTCTACCAAGTCAAGAAAGTACCTCCAGAGAAAAACCTCTCTCCATCCTAAAGACAATGTTTTGTAGGCAATGAACTGCTTTACAGAGCTGCTTATTCCCTCTAGCAACTAGAGAAAGAACCTAGAGTAATGGCTCAAATATTCAATAAGCAAGATTCAGATTAATTCCTTTTTATCAGAACATCCAGTTTGTTAAGCTAACTTCACAGTTCAACCTGTCTACGTAACTACTTTCCTCAATGTATTGCAATAAGACAGCATCAGTACAAAATTATCAGGTTTAGATCATTTTGATAAAGTAATTTCAAATGAACAAATTGAACAAAACTGGTCTGTAACCTTGTTACAAGTCGTTTTGTTTCTTTTAAATTTTTATATAAAAGCTTCTTGGAGTCCCAAAAGAAAGTTGGGAGAATCATTTTTCTGAGAAACAAGCAGTAGTTGAAAGGTTTGTGATGATAAAGATATGGAAAACCTATTTTCTAGAGAAGTATTTTTCTAAATTTTTGAGGAGTAAGCTACAACACCTGAACAACAGACAGTATGCCTGACACTTCCATAGACTATATTAACTTCTGTCAGGGAGCTGCAAATGCTGTGTTTCACTTTCTAGCATGGTAGAATCTTGTAAGATATTGAGTTACTTCAAGCAATGCAAATTGAGGATATTCAGCACAACTCAAGAGGTACTCATCAGCAGTGTGGAGAACCAGGTCCTTTAGCATTATCACAACCTTATGAACAGAATAACAAAGTAAACAGACTTTCAAGACCAAGGACACTTTAGAAATGCAGAGACAGATGGTTAGTGAGACATTTGGAAGGACGTGTTGGAATGGCACAGTTCTGATAGTGATTTGCATAATACGTTTCTTCTGTATCGCCACTGTGATCAAAACTAAATAAAACACATTGTTCTGAACTCATCTTAAGAACTCAATAAATTGGCTTTTGGTCTGTCCAACGAAGCTCATCTGCCCTAGCACAAATAAAGGTCTCAAGCCAACTGAGGCATTGCTTTTTCAAAAACTCGATAGCTTTAAGACTTGTCAGCATATTAATGAGAATGGTTCATTAATGTGAAATAGCATCTCTATAGTCAGATTCTCTAGCTATGTAACTTGAGAAGTCAAAGTCCTCCTATGAATATTTTTATTTATTTTTGAAGTACCGGGAGAAAAAAATAAAAAAAAAAAACAATATTTTGAGTGGCCTAATGACAGTTACTCAACTATATTTAAAGCATTAAGTAGTATTCAAATAATTTAACATATGATCATCTAAAATATCAATATCACTGTCATAAACATGACATATGACAATTTACACTTTGTGAAAAATGCAACTATATCAAAACTATTTTGCATTACTCTTTAGACTGCATTAAATTTAAAACCAAAGAGAAATATTTGTGGTAGCCGAAGATAGCAGACAGCCAGCTAAAGAGGAAGTAAATAACAGTCCTGGTGCCACACACGAAAATGAATTTGGAACTTCATAGTGAGAGCGTACACGCAAGTGAAAGAAGGTACCACATGAAATTAACACTCTATCTGCTCTCAATCTCACATTTGGGTCAGCCCTATGTTCCTGCTCCCCTATTCTTCTCCAGTGCCTGTGGACCACACAGCCTTATTCCCACATGGCTGGTGTCCTCTCTTGCTCTTTGACTGCCACCTGTCTTTCTCTTCCGCATGTTAAGTGTTACATAAGATAAACATATGATGAAGAGGAGTTAGATGCTTGGCTTGGCTCACCCTCATAAAAGTTATTTATGTTGTGGGGCACACTGCTGTCTTCCAAGATCCTGGCAAATTCAAAATGACTTTGACATTTTCCACTGTGATTCTGCATGAGCAAATGGTAGTTTCTCAACAGCAAACAGAACAGAAGGAGATAGCTTTTCAGACAGGAGAACTATCTGTGATGTAATGACTATAAAAGCTAGCACCCTGTGAGAAGCATCCAGCAGCTTCCCAGCACCAAACAGCACAGCAAGCTCAGCTGGGCTGTGGCCCAGCTCACATCCACCACACTGTAGGGAAGAGGAGGGGAAATAGCACCAGGAATAGGAAATGCCAGGAAAGATAGGGTGCTGGCTGGAGTCGTAGACATTCTGAGTCAATGCATAGGATATTTAGTTTCATGGCTCCAGTGGCCCCCATAGCAGCAAAATGCAGGTTCAGCACGGGCTAGAACTCTTTAGCTATGATTTATGCTTCACCCTGTTTAGTTCTATTTTTTCTTCTCTCAGATTTAAATAAGAGGTATTTTTGTCTCAATAGTGAGACAACACTGGTTTTGTTGATGTTTGTAGGGACCAAACTATCTCTACTCCTCCTCATCGGCATCCTCCCTGCACAGAAGACATCTACCTCTGCTCACCTTCAAACTGTAACATCTCTGTTCAAAGAGTAATCAGCAGCTCTCACTTCTTGCAACATGCATAGTTCTCTGTAAAGCAAGCTGAAGGCATTAATTCATCTTACACAGGCCACTGAAGCCATCACAAACAAACGACTTTAGATCTATGGCAAATTGGGCAGCATTCAGTGAAATGACCTAGAGGTTAAAGTCTCTGTATCATATTATCTCTCCTGAAGGCAAAGGATCGTACTTCTTAGAAGCTAACTCGCTTGTACATGGACCTCAAA